AGTTAAATAATTAAATTAAATTCTTGTCTGCTAATTCTACATCTGGGTCATTATGGAACAGGCCTCCTCTGATTGTCTTTTCTTCTGAGAATGGGTCACATTTTCTTGGTTCTTCATACAGCAAGTCATTGTTGATTGTATCCTGGATGTTGTGACTGTTAATGTTGTGGAGAATATGCATTCTACTATACCTTGAAGAATTTTGATTATTTTTTTTTAGGTTGGCAGTTAATTTGGTTAGATCTAAACTATAAATTCATCTCTTTGGCAGCAGCTCAAATCTCAGTTTAGTTCTTTTTTCCTTAGTTAAACTGCTTTGAGTCTACCCTGCACATGTGTGGTTCAGGGTCAGTCAGAGATTTCAGCTAAGTTTATTCACAGAACTTAGGGCTCTACTTCTCTGACTTTTTCTTCCCTGGTGATATCCCCTCACCTTCCAGCGGCTATAGTTGTCCAGAACTCTGTACTCTCATCCTTTAGACCAGAAGGTTAGTACGTTTTCTATGAGAGCTTTACCCACCGTATGCTGCTGCCAACTGCAGTCTCCCTGTAAGCTAAAAGCTGTAAAAAATGGGAAATTTACATTATGTACAAGTGCCAGCTTCCCTCCAGAATCTGTCTGGTTTTGTTTACTCTCCAGTGCCCTTAAGTCATTTCATCCAGCGTTTACGGTTGTTGTCTGCAGAGGGGTCAACTTGGTATGAGCTTCCTTGGCCATACCGGAGAAACAGCCTAAGTATACCTGAATCTAAAATTCATGTGCTAGGAGCTTGGCAAGATATACAAAGAAAATGCATAACCAGGTCTTTCCACCACCATCAATTTTAACTTTTACTGTTTTTTATTAATATTGCTTCTTCTATGAGTCTCACACACACACACAACCTCACAATCTAGGATAATTTAGAAACAGACCAGTAAAAGTCTGACATATGGGCTTGTTTCAACAAAATATTACATATATTTGAAGCAATAAATTCGAACCTCAAACTCTACTGAAAAAGAACTGCCTGCTATGAGATGGGTAAGTGTCTCAGGGAAATGATTTTCCTAAAAAAATAAGTAGCATTTATTATCAGAATATCATAGAATTTTAATGTGGAAAGGTCTATAGGAATCATCTAGTCCAAGATACTCATATGTCTGTATATAAATTAATAATTCATTGATTTATTAAATAAACATTTATTGAATACCTATGGATTCTGTGCCAGGCACAGCTTGAGTTCTAAAATGCACAATGATGCTTGCAAAGTTTTTTTTCTTAGTTATTTCAGACTTCATCCCTCAATCTTATTGACATTATCAATTTTCACTTTGAATACTGTGTTTGATAAAGAGAAGAAAATTTTATCTCCAACACTGTCCAAATGATTACAAATTCTTTATCAAATTTTATAAGATTTTGCTAGATTTTTGTCTCATTGAAAAACAATATAATGTAAAATGCAAGATGTTGTTTTGTGGGCCAAGATTCGGTGCTATGATGCTTTGAAATGTGTTTAATGCCATCTTAACATCTGTACCTTGATTCTGTAGCCAGCTCCCAGCGAAAAACTCAGACTTGCTGGGGTACATGGAGTGGTTCTTTCATTTTATTCATTCATGGATGGAATATTTATAAATACAAATGGAATTCAGATCATGGTCTGTAGTTCTATGATTTCAAACTTGCTAACTTCCAGGCTTAATCAGGAGCTATGAGAAGATGATCACTATTATATGTATATTTAGTTGCTCTTAGCTGATGGACACAATCATTTTTAGTGAAATACATATAGTAAGTATTAGTATACAAAGTTTAGGGAAATAACATCTCAGTTAATCCCTTTGGATTAGGAAGTGCAATATCTTTGATATCCCTGAGAAGTTGTTGCTTAATAGAAGTTTATAACATGAATAAATTATAATTCTGATATGAGGATCCATATTAAGTTAGGAAATGTGTTAATGTTGTAGAGGAAAGAAGAAATCTAATGATAAAATATTTCCAGAACATATATTTTCAGCATCAGTTTTTATTTTGATCACATTATTCTATCATAATAAAGATTTGTACAATTACTTCTGTTAATATTATTATTTCTTTTTAAAAGTCCTGTTACATAATTTGAATTTGCTAGGCAATTAAATGCAGTATAATTTTACTTGCCAACAATGAAGCAGGCTTTCACATTAACAATTAATCAGAACTGAAAGGAATCCTAAAATTTCTGTATCATCTGTCAGTAGTGTAAGTGTCTCTATCTTTGGTATGATGTAGCAAGATTAAACCCTTTTATTCTAAAAGAATGAGCTGAACAGTCACAAAGCAATTCTCAATATAGATATGGAGGAAATTTGAGCATATTGTTAGTGGTTAGCAATGAATAGAGAGTTTTGATTTATGAGAAAAAAGAACAGAAATGATATAAAAGTTAATTTCCAATTCTTCAACGTTAACAAAGCGGAAGGGGGAAAATTAGATGTTTCATTTTAGAGTTAAAGAAGAGTTGAAACTTAATATTGCTTTCAGACTCAAAATTTACATTGAACATTTTAATTACCCTATGTGACACGTGTAATGATTGTTCTTTCAGAAACAAACTATCCAGCATGTTTGGAAAGATTTCCTTTTATATTCTTGAATGGTTGTACTTGATCTATAGCTGTCTTAGTTTCCTTTTAGCTTTTGGATGAAAGTTTTTTCTCACTAAGGGAAAGTTTATATTGTGATCACTTATATTTACCCAACTTGGGTAATACAATTGTGTGGTTAATATGCCATGGTTTTTATAGAAGAATATAAGATCTATTGTTCTTCTCCCTGTACCAAACCAAAGGAACGTATGACCTGTCTCATCAATCAGTAAAACCCAGTGGCCTTTCTTCCAGGCCACAGTCAAGAGATCAAAACCGCGTGACTGCCTGTTTGTTAGAAATCGCTGCAGTTCATTCACTCAGCAGGAGACCTGTCATCTTTAAAACAAGCCTATTCGTCACCAACTACCAAATTCCAGGCCCTCAGAGCACCTGCTCAGAGTGACTGTGTACTCACAGCTGAAACCTTTGCTCACACATTTATTTTGGGACTGAGCAACGTTAGCTGTAGAGAACTGAGAAAAAAACACCCCACTTAACTCTGCACACTAATCTCCCTTCAATGACCTAATCCTGAGTCTGTAAACCCAGTGAGCCTTTAAACCAGCATAACGAAATATTTTGCTTTGTATCCTCAGGAAGAGACCCTTCAGAGGGCACGTGAGGAAGAAGAGAAAAGGAAGGAGATCACAAGTCATTTCCAGAGCACCCTGACAGATATCCAGGCTCAGATCGAACAGCAGAGTGAGCGAAACATGAAGCTCTGTCAGGAGAACACAGAGCTCGCAGAAAAACTGAAAAGCATCATCGATCAGTACGAGCTCAGAGAGGAGGTGAGAACCACACCCAACGACGTAGAAGACCTGCTCATAGATGTGGCTCTGGGTTGTGAAGGCGGGGAACTTGGTTAACAAGGCCGTTATGGCCAGCCCTCTCAAATGATTAACATTTAGGGTTGGATTTCTTTCATGAGCCAAAATAAAGACAAATGGTATTACAAAATACCTGACTGAAAGTCATATGGGATTTCTTCAAAACTGGAATCACGGCAAAGTAAAAGCCATAAATAGAAAGTGGTGGGCTGTGGGCACAGTTATGCCTGGAAACAATATTTCTCAGCCTTTTGAAGATCCTTTCTATGCAGCCAAAAATAACTCACACACTCCCGCTTAAGAATCACCGTGTCATCTAAACTAAGGGTCTGTATTATTGGCTGGTATACCCTACAAGCCAATAATAGTATTAATAATGTAATAATAATGATGATATTATTTATTCAGTGCTTAGATCATATCAGGCAATGTGCTAAGTACTGTACTTCACACGCAATACATCATCGAATTGTCTCAACAATCTTATGCACTAGATAATAATATATTATCCACATTTTATAGATAGGAAGCAGAAGCTATGAGATGAATCACTTACCCACAGTCACAAAAACCAAAGACTTTTGCCTTCGATAGTTTATATTAGAAGGACTATAATGGTCTTTTATTATCTCAAAATTATATTTTTAAGACTCTAGATGCCCCTCAGGATTTTGATATATCATATTCCTTTCCCTATCCCACCCAAATTTTAAATCTCTGCCTTAAAATGTAACATAACATAGTCAAAATGGTTCTGTTGGCAACATGCTAAGATTCTATTAAGAAAAAACAAAAACAGAGCCAATAGCGTATGGCCGCAGTAGTTAGGTAAATCAAGAAACTCCTCACAGTAAGCCAAAATGCCATGCTACCAGTTTATCTTGTCAGGACAACCAATCCTGCTCCAGAACACAGGTTCAGACTAAAGAAGAGTGAAGGAGTGAAGGGAAAATGTCCTCACTCTTCAGAGAGATCTCAGATGGGAACGGCCTGGTGTACTAGCTGTGTATTTCTGGAACTGGTTCTAGGTAAAGCCCAAGAGTAGAATTCCACATGTCCTCTTTCTGATGGGACCTCCTAATGACCAGAAGTTCTTCACCTCCTAATGACCAGAAGTTCTTCACAGGGAGGTAGAGCTGAAAGCTTCTGGTCACCAAGCAAGTCCAGAGGTCGAAAGGTGTGGAGAAGTCTGTACATTTACATATCAATCATCTGTGAACCCTGGCCTTCTCAGCCCCACCAGAGCAACAGAGTAGATTTCAGGGGGCTCAGGCCTCACTCCGGACCTAGGACCACATGTTGGTGCCCCAAGGGTTTCTCATAACCCTGGAGGCAAGAATGTGGAGAATTCATCATGATAAATTATACTAATGTTGTGATTAAAAGTGGTTTTATATTCATAGAAAGAGCCCAAATACGAAGTGATAGTACTGTGGCCCTTGCAGTATATATCATTGTCTGTGCTGTCGAGCATAATAAATAGCATCATACCTAATAGTTACCATATTTAGAAAGATAATGTAGGTACCTCTTGGCATTACACTGCTGAACTCTGGCACCTCCACCTTTTGCAGCTACTTTTGTGTAGTGCAGAGTATGGGGCACTTCAACACTTTATGGCTTTAATATAAATATGTTCATGTGAATTTTTTATTGTACATTTTAAGCACCAATAAGCCAATCTTTATATGTATACTTTATTTTTCCTTAGCATCTGGACAAAATATTTAAACACAGAGAACTGCAGCAGAAGCTGGTGGATGCAAAACTCGAGCAGGCACAAGAAATGATGAAGGAAGCAGAGGAGCGCCACAAACGAGAAAAGGAATATGTACTTATCATTTTAGTCACTGTGCATATCTGCTTTGCCTTGGTGTCAGAGACTCTCTGAGAAAGTTATTCTGATAACAGTCAAAGAGAACTAGACTGATGGAGGAAGAGCCTGAGCCGCTTTGGAGAACTAAATTGGCCATCCCAACACAAGGCACTATACCCACACTATTTTTTACATAAAATACTCATCCATCCATTCAACACATATTTTCCAAAGTGCCTACTATCTGCTAAGCACTGTGTGAGGTGCTGGGATTTCTATAGCTGTGGAGAAACAGAGAAGGGCCATCTCCTACCATGTAGGTTAGAGCCCAACTGGGAAGAGTCAGGCAACAGATAAGCCAACAAACCAGGAAGGGTCATTTCAGATAGTAAGTGGCTACTAGGGAAATAAGAAGGAACTGAGAAGGGGCCAAAGGAGGGGACCTACTTTAGACTGGGTGACCAGGAAGGCCCTCACAGTGGGGGGATGCTTGAGCCAAGTCCTTCCCCATGAGGAGCTGGACGTGGAGCGCCATCTTCAGCAGCAGCCGTCTCCAGCAACAAAGGCCCTGCTGCCGGAAGCAGCTTGGTGTGCCCCAGAAATAGGAGAAGGTCAGGGAAGCAAGAGCATGGGGAAAAGGTTCAAAATGAAGTTGCAGAGGTAAGCAGGGGCCACACTGTGTAGCTTTGTAGGGCTTAAAAAGTCGTTTGGATTTTATTCTAAATATAATGGGAAAGTACGGGGTAGTTTTAGTGAAGGAAGTGACATGATCTGCTTTGCATCTGTAAAAGACTAATTTGGCTCCTGGGTGGAAAATGGACTGCAAGGGAACAAGAAAGCAAGAAGACAGTTAGGAGGCTCTGAGAGCATGCAGATGAGATATGACGATGACTTGGATTAGGGAGGTAGCAGCAGAGAGGTGGAAATGGATAAAAGTTGTTTTCAATATAAACCCAACAGGTCATGGTGCAGACCTGAAGCTGGTGACAATGGGGAAAGGAGCAGATGACTCAAGGATGACTCCTGAGTTTTGGGTTGAAGAAACCGAGGGGTGGTGTCTACTGCTATCTAATTCACCCCAAGCACCCCCCAAAAAGCTATAGGGCCACCCTACAGATGAGAGAACCAAGGCTCGAAGAAGATATGCAACTTGTTTAAGGTCACACACTGCTAAGTGAGCAAGATGTGTTTCAGTCCCACGTGTGTCGGTTCCCAAAGCCCAGCTCACTGTGACAGTGCGTCGCAGTCAGAGGTGTGGTTCACGGGTAGAAGTTAGGCAGGTGTGTGCTGCTGGACAGACAGAGAGATGTGAGACATAGTCAGTTGGCCAATTATTCAAATTTGGCCGTTCAACATTTGATCACGGGCTTTCCATTTACCTAAACTCAGACCAGAATCAATTCAATTGGTTAGAACAGTAATTTTAAAATAACTTTAGTTTTTAAACATGGCAACAAAAAGACAAACTTTGGGGAACCTAACCTGGTGGACGTGCCCACAGCATGTTGACTCTGGTGTCCACTAAGCCACTCTAGGGATGGTTACACATACTTGCCCAGTTCAGTAAGATGGAGCTTACCAAGAATCAGCTCTGCATGCAAATTTTTTCTTTCCAGTTATACTTTTATACCACGTAAATCAACAGAATGATACATAAACTGATGAAATATAAGTATGAAAAGAAAGAATTATTTCTACAAAAACTACATTTAATACTTTGAAAGACCAGATGCAAGCAAATAGCAAAAAAAAAGTTGTAAAACTAGATATGTGAGTAGCTATCAAAGATTGGAGGAAAGGTGGAAAACTCTGGAGAATTATCCAATCAAGCTGCTTCACAAGTATTTTTAGGTTCTAGCACTATTGGTGCTAGACACACACACACACACACACACACACACATATATATATATATACCCCTAACAACGTAGAAATCTTATATGGCACATAATGGATGTGTTTTAAAAAAAACAAAACAAAACTCTGAATTCCAATCAGAAGATCCATACCCAAAACAAAGACCACAGCCCTACATCAAAACTGATAAATAAATGAACATCATCTTCAGTTAAAATTACATGTTTTAAATATGTGTGTCTTTTTATGCCAAAATCAACTTTTCAATTCAACCCATCAGCTCCCAGAGGGCAGATTTAGAACAATAGGTCAAACTTCTAACCTGGTGTTTCTCAAAATGTAATCCATAGCCCACCAATAGCCAAACCATCTTGGGTATTTACTATAAGTACAGATTCAGTCACACCTTATACTTCCTCAGTCATATTCTCTGAGAGAGATCTGCATTTTAACATGTTCCCAAGGAGATTCCGATGCATGTCAGAAGCTCTGTGTCAGGAACCAGGGACAGACTAAATATATACCTAGTTCTTATCGTATCACACATGCTATGGTGGAGAACAGCGGTCTAGGGGAGTAACTTTGGGTTTAATATAAAGAACAGTTGCTGACGACAATGCCGCAGCCAGGGATGTTCTGGAGCTGTTCCAGCAGAGGCTGAATGATGGTTGGTCAGAATTACTGGAAAAGCTTCGAGAATTTGGTGAGAAGTTGAATTTTGTATGATTCATGCTTGAGTTGGAGACTATTTTTCTTTTCTTTTTTATTAAAACCACAAGTTTTTACTTGAAAATCCAACTTTTTAGACCAATTGTTTTCTTAGCTTTCTTAGATTCTTTACAAAGTTTCGAAAAATTACTTGGGGGTTAATGAGCAAGTTATTAAATTTTATACACAAATTACAGCAATCTAAAAGACAGTTTGACAGTCTCTCCACACATTCTCTCTTCTCATAGTTGCTGAACCAGGCGGCAGAGTGGAAACTTCAGGCCAAAGTGCTGAAGGAACAAGAGACAATTCTGCAGGCCCAGGTGAAAGGGGGAGGACGATGCAGGGGTGTGCCCTCCTCTGCGCCCAGGTGACGCGGCTGCAGGTGGTCTGCAGAAGGCAGGGGGCGGGGGGACAGGACTTGGAAGTGAAGAACAACTTCACATTTATTATTTTTAAGTAAAAATAAAAGCACAACATTATATCTACAAAAAAGAAATGTTCTGCACCAACAACATCCAAAGGTTTGTTGACAAATGACGGCGCCAAAGCGGTCAGAATCACCAGTGTCCAGGTTCTCACGTATCTCTTCATATTTCCTCGCTCTCCCCTCTCCCAGTACCCTGGTAAGGTAAGAGGAAAATGTAAACTGCTCAGATGCACTATCCATGCCTGGGAATTCTTAAAATGCCTTCACATTTTGATATAATTTATAATGCAAAGAAAATGAGAAAAATAGCACCCAAATTTCTGTGCTATCAGAGGTTGGCCTTGAGGGTGGTGAATGACACGAAGTGGCAGCAAGTCAGGTACCATTTTGATTTGCTTCTTGATGTCATTTGTGTGCTTCGATTAGACTGTGGGAATTCCTTTTTCAGGCTCAAAAAAACAAAAGCCTCAGGCCACAGCTGACACTGGGGGAAAACCTGACCTATCCATCTTCCCCCTGCCTTGGGGCTCTGTGCCTCCTGGCAAATGGTCCCCATGGGTTCCGGGAGAACCATCCTGCCACGGGCCACAGAGAGACCCCAACTGCCAGGCGAAATGCCCAAGTGCCAAAAAGACTGCGAGATCACATAGAGCAAATTCATAGAAGGTGAGGAAATCATAAGCCTTCCAAATTGAGCAGCATTAATTAGAGATTTGCAAATGTTTATGTGCTGATTGGTAAATATTTGTTCATTGTAAAAGAAAAAAAATCAAACTATACCATTGCATAGACAAAAGCACAGAGAGCATTTTCATATCTAGCCTTCTCAAAGTGTACTTTTGCAATGCATATATAGAATGCAATAATTGACTTTTCCCCAGTATGATCTATTCTCTGATAATATGTAAGAATAGCTTTGAAGTACCAATTACATAGAGGTTAGAACCATCATGTTTCTATGAATAGAATCAGAGGGCCCAGAGTTACCAACTCAAGATCACCCTGAGACAGTCACTGAACCCGCTGTGGGGTCAGGGGCAGGCAGTGGGGGCTCTCCAGGCAGAAGGCAGGTGGGGGGAAAGGAGGTGTGGCCCCCTTGTCTAGGGGAGGGGACAGCCCAAAGAATCAAGCCAGAGCTTCTGACGCTCTGACTCATTCATAACACAGAGCCTTGAGGGGGACAATGGACACTGTCTGAAGTTGGGCACTGTTCACAGCATCTGTTACATGCAATCTCTACTCCTCTATGCTAAATGAAGATAACAAATTGAGAAGAGTAAATTAATATTGTCAAACTTTGGGCTACAGAGTGATTCATTCAGCTGCCATCAGAATCTAGGCCTTTAATAACCTGTGAAATAAGAATAAAAAGGTGTGATCCAATTTCCCACCTATACTCCCTCAAACTTGAAAAAACATCTACAGGGGTTCTAGACTCGCTATCATTCCTCATTCATCCCTGAGTCCATGCTCCTGGACAGAGTCCTGGCTCTTCTACTGAAAAGCTGTGTGACCCTGTGCAACTCACCTAAACCTCCATGGACCTAAATTTCCTTGTCTGCAAAATGAAGATGCTGTAATGAATCAGTGATCCCAAGCTAGTGGCCTCCAACCTCTGAGAGGCCCATGACTTTTCAGTATTTCCAAAACAACAGCACATAAGGCAGCAGCTACGGTCTAAAATTTAGTCGTTTCTGACATTAGATCTGCTCTTGCTCAGCATCTGTGGGTGGCACTTATCCATATGTTTAAGTTTCTAAAAGAAAAATGAGTTAATGAATATGTAATATATGCAGTTTTTTTTCAAATCATACATGCAAAGCGCTTAGATCAGTGTCTGGCCCATGATAAGCATAATTAATTCAACCAATATTTATTGAGCACCTACTAAGTGCTAGGCATGGTTCTAGGTTTGGAGACATAGTAATCAATAGGAAAGAGAAAAACCAATGCCTAACTGAACTCACAATCTAGTGATAACAATTATGTCAATAAAAGTGCAAACTCTTAATGAGTATATGAGCTAGTATTAGTATTATTTCATAGGTAAGGATTCATATGAGAAAATATGAGCCAAAGAGAGTCTCGAATTGCAAAAATGTTGAAGAACCCATGGCAAAGACGATCTCGAGACCCTGTACGGCTCTAGCTCATGAACACAGAGAACTTCCAGAGCTGATGAAGTGTGGCCCTAAGCTAAGTTGACTGTGCCTTCTTTTACATGGCCCACAGAATCCCCCAGTGAAGGCAGCCCCACTAGTTGCAAGGAGCCTCCTTGGTCTTTCTCTTCTGTCTCCAAGCCACTTTCAAAACTCTGATAATTACTTAAGCATCAAGAAGAAAATAGAGGTCCCAAATCCATATGTGTAACAATGTTTAAACAAGTTCCCCATAAAGTATTAATATTACATTAATATTTTAAAAACTTTTACACCTTGGAAAAAAAACTCCATCACAGATTATTTTGCATAGCACTCAAACACTCCCCTTAGTTTTACACAGTCTTTAAAGGGGAAGGAATGGCAGGAGGCCAAGCCCTTCATCGCCATTTTTAAGATCTGAATAAGAGACACATTAAAGACATTATTTGTTGTTTTCCTAGACAAAAGTCACTTTTCAGCCATGAGACAACTGCTTGCAGGTTAGAAGAGATGTCTAGCTTTCAATTGTACAAACCGAGGCGATAGAATAAGCATCAGAGATGATCAATAGGATACAATCATCACTACAAATAGAGTATTCATTGGATCAATAAGGATGAAGACAGTAGTAGACATGGAAAGTCAGCAATATCTGACTACACAGACACAAAATACTACCCAAGGGAAAGACCAGTGAGTAAACCGTTAAAAGCATGTAATCATAATCTTTTAACATCCGAACCCTTCACCAAACCTACGTGGGGTGAGTGAAGAGCCCTCTGTGACTACCTTTCTAAGAGGACTTGCTCCCAGACCAAATCCCACAGAATTACTAAGACAATCCTGGACATAGTTCTGTTTTCTATACTCTATATGAATGTTTGTAATTAAAATTTGCAGCTCAGTTAAAAGAATGTGTTTGTCACTAGGCCCATTTAAAAGTGAAATATTGAGGCAATTATTGTTATTCTAACCATAGAACAGTTTGTTTCTATTTCTGCCTCTGGTAGGAGAAATACTGCACATGACTTCTGGATGTCTCTTCCATGCTCCTCTGAAATACCAAAGTGAGAGTGGGAATATGACACAACAAACCAAACCTGCACCATGTCGGCACATTAGTCAGAGGGAAAACACTACCTAGCAAATATCCAATAAGTAAACAGGAAGTACAGATATTTAGTTGTATAAGAAGAGAGTGTTAGAGTTAGTTAACTGAGAAATGCATAATCCACACAGGTTTTGCCACCTGACAGAGAGGGAGGTCAAACAGGAAGAAAAGCAGAGTATTAAAGACTCATCACTAGAAGGAAAAAAATATGGAATTGTCGTTAAATGGGTATAAAGTTTTCATCCCATTTTGCAAGATGAAAAAGTTCTGGAGTTTGGTTGCAGAGCAATGTAAACATACATAACAATACTTAACTGTACACGTAAAAATGGTTAGAATGATAATTTTATGTTACCACAATTTAAAAAAAAATTTTTTTAAGTTGAGGGAAAACAAAACAAAACAGTCACTAGAAAAATCCCAGAAGAGGTAGTGATGAAGTGACACACTACTTCTTGGCACTCTGGGTATGTCTGTCTTTGCCATGTCTTCCCCAGCAACAAGAAAACATGGGGAAAGGGAAACAAAATCTGCCCAATTAATGTACCAAAAAGAACATTCTGTGCTTTTTTTTTTTCCCTTAAAGCCTTTACTTTGAGACATGATGGGAAAATCTTACAGGTACAGGTGCAAAAGTCAGACATGCTCACAGTTGAGTAAAGACAATCTAACCAGAACGCTTTAGTGCCCATCGGCTAATGTTGAAGCTGAAGTTCTGGGTGTGGTTGGTTGTTCCTGCTGACTCCATCAAGATCGCCTCTGTGGGATGGATGGTACCTGTGCTCACTCCTGCCCTGGCCTGTCTGCAGCCTGTAATTACAGAGCTACAAGCAGGAGGACCAGCTCAGGATGCCATAGGTTCTGAGGCCCCTATGTACATCTGCTGGAATTACTAATAAGTTGGAAAAAGGATGAGGAGGAAGTAAGAAAAGAAGGTTGATAGAAGGGACTTGGCTGAGAATACAAATGAATAGATTTTGTGATAGAAGGTGACCAGACCTGCTGGGGGTAGTTGTTCCCACCCCAGGCCAATGGATAATGTGCAATGTGGGTAGCCAGTCCCGCAAGAGCTTACCCAAGGGCAGAATGTCTCAAAATAAGAGGCTTGATCCATTCATGGGACCTGAAATCAATTCAGTGGACCCTGGTCAGTACTTTGTAAAAAATGAAACACAATGAATAGAATATGACGGAGTATGTTGCACATAAGAGTAATTATAAGTATTGTTTTATACAGTGTGTGTGTGTGTGTGTGTGTGTGTGTGTGTGTAACTCTAGGGCAGCTCCCTGGCCATGAATTCCTTGATGCCCCTTTACTCTGTCTTCTTTAATCTGTATGCCAAGGAACCATGAGAAATGAATTTCAGTTCTGTTACATACACTGCTAATGAGTGATTTCAAAACGATGGTCAGCTGCCATTTGTTGACTTTCCTTTGGATAATCAATATTCTGCAGAAAGGAGTTATGTTATCATTTTGTTATTGTTGTGTACTGCAATAAAACCGCCACTATTCTGAATTATTGGGGAAGAAACCATTCCAGATAAGCAATTTTCTGGGCTCTAGGGGTTGTTTGATTCACACACACTCCCTCTCACACCCACTCCCAAGACTGGCAACTCTCCAATCTGCCAGCTTCTAGGCAGCGTACTCTTCTGTACAAAAAGACAGTCCTACTAGGAGTTGGGGGAGCGGGGAAAAGACAGTCCCACTGACACTGCCAGTTGGTCCATTGGTGCCCTCCCAGTGAAGCAAGTACAACCGGGGGTTCTTGTTTCTTGCCGGATGCTCTGCAGGTTTGCTTCCTCACGCAGGATGATTTGTGCCCACATGAGAACTTGGGACTGTTCCGGACACTCAAGAGTACCAAAGGCTCATGTGAAAATGGAAGCTTTATTAATTTGAATCATCCATACTAAATCTCCACTCACTCAAAACCTGCCACCCTAATATTATTCTCAAAAGCAAGACGTTATTATTTTATTACTGTCACTAACAATCAAGTTTTTACACACTTTCCTTCCCTGTGCTGCCCCATTGCCACCCCACATGCAAGTGTTGGAGTTAAGGACGTGGGGAGATACAAAGGCTCTTCTCTATGTCCCTCTGGTGAGCCACACACTCAGCAATGCTACCCCATGTGATGTTTTATGCAGATTAGAAATAGGCATCCCTTCCTCAAGGCCTGTTACTTCCATCAGTAGAAAACTGGTGTAATAAACTAGTTTTGATGAAAAAGAAACTGCTATTGGCTAGGACACTGTATTCGTAAATATACAAGACTGTGATGTCTAAAACAGAAATGGCGACGGCTTAGAGAGGGGAACAACCTGCACTTGTCCATGTCCAGCCCACATCTCCTCTATCATTTGTCTACCTTCTCCTTTCCTTAAAGACCAAATTCAAGGCTCACCTTCTCCACAGCCATGTGGCTCACGTGATCACCTGCCGTACTTAAGTGCCTTGGCACTTTGAAGTCCCTGTTGTCTTTGAGAACAGCTTCCCATTACAAGTACAGGTCCCTTAAAACCAGGGTCCACGTGTTCAGTACTTTTGTACCTATAGACCATGCACATGCTCAGTGCTCACTAAATACCTGTTGGTAAAAGTTTATGATACAATGAAATAGTGTTGATATTTTATTTTTTCATTTTTCTTTTTTTATAATTTTTTCTTTTTTTTTTTAATTCTATTTCCTTTATATCATTTTTCTTGAAAGTAGCACTTCAATCATGCTCACTGACCTAGGTTGATCTTGTAGTAAACAAAATAACTAAACATGTTACTAACACTGTACTGAGAATTCCTTTTCTGAGAAATTATTTTTCTTCTCAAATAATGAACAATGACATGTTGTTTTGTTCTGGATGCATTCTGAAAGCAGCCCTAAAATAAAGCTACTCTTTCCCGTTTGCAGCTTACTCTCTACTCAGGAAGGTTTGAAGAGTTCCAGAGCACACTGACGAAAAGCAACGAAGTGTTTGCCACTTTCAAACAGGAAATGGATAAAGTGAGTATTCTTGCTTATCGCCCACGAAACACTGGCATTTTCTATACTGACAGGCAATTCTCCTTTGGTTTCATCTTTCTCTCACTAAAATATTTCAGCGCATTTCATGAAGTAATGAAATGTTTATAGGTGGGATTGAGGTTTGGGCTGCATTTTTTTTTTACTGATAAGTACATGGTGAATTAATCTGAGTAAGAGTCCAAAAACGCTAGGATACATTTTCACTCTGAGGAAGAAGAATTGTTTTCCTACTCCACGAACAACTGGAAAAAAAAAATAAGAACTAGAAATTTAACATCATGTTGTATATACTGAAGTCAAAAAATATCTAAATATTTAAAAAACAACTTTTATACAAACATACAAAAGTGGAAATTAGAGTAGGAAATACCATTGTATAGGATCCTTCTTAGAAGGGAAGATGTGTAATATGATATAATTGACAGAGCCCTGAATAAGAAGATGGAAGCCTGAATTCAAGTTCCTGTGTGTTCTTGCTCATCAAGTAGCATTGGGAAATTCACTTCACTTCCCTGAATTTTTTTTTATCTATAGAGATACTATGTCTCTTGCCTACCTCACAAGATTGTGAAGTTCAAATAAATTAATGTATTTTAGAAGGGTTTTAAACTTTTTAACAGTCTTTTACAAATATAAGGTACTAAGATTATTATTGGATCTAATGCTTAAATCTTGTTCAATTCAGTGTTTTCCCAATCAGTGTCAGAACTGTGTTTCTGAGCAGGCATTGGCATTAATCATTTTTAAGTGTAGAAAGCATCCTTTAAAAGATATTGTCATAAAATAATCTGATAAATTTCATAATTAAGTGAGCAAACTTAAGAAGGTTGACACTTATTAAAAGTTATAATTTTCTCACTCCAGGATAAATCTACCCATTTTTTAAAAATTTTTTGAAATTCTAGAGTTTTAAGATTGGAATAAATATTAGAACAGAAAAAATATTTTTACTTCAAAATTATATATTTTAAGGTTAGAATAACTATTAAACCAGGAGTTCTTAATCTGGAGTTCATTTATGGACTTAAGTAGTTGACCAGAGCATTCCCTGAAAATTAGCGGAAAAAAAAAAAAATTGATGTGCATATTTGCATTTTTCTGAAGTTCACACATCAGATTTCATCAAATTCTTAAAGGAATCAATGAACTTAAAAAGTTTATAAACTACTAATTTGATTAATACATGATCAAAATCTAAAAACCTAGCTTCTCTGTAGAGCCAGGGGCTGACAGTCTGGGCCCGGCCTCTGGCCTTCCCGGGTACCCTGCCTCAGGCAGCTTAGCACCAAGCAGCAAGTGCCCAGGTCTGGTTCATCCAGGGAAATCGCACCTGATTGCATGCCTTGTTCTTCACTTCACCCAAGCAGAGAGGACACCCTCCAACCAAGAATGTGAGTAGTCTCAGTTTAAAAAAAAAAAAAAACAGGCTACATTATATCACACTTCTCTATCCCCTACACCCAGCCCCAGGCCTGGTGACCAGCAGATACTCCCTGTACATGTTGCATTAAATGGAATAAAATATCTACAGCCCCACTCTTCTGTTAATTCATCTTAATATTACTCCACTTCTCTAAGCCTCAGTCTCCCCATTTATAAAATGGGGATTAGAATGAAACCTTCCTTGTGGGACTATTTCAAGGATGAAATAAATAATGCATGTAATTACATTTGGTGAACTTTACCTGAGTCTACAAACGTAAAGACTGAGAAAATAGAAAGCTGGTTTTGTGTGGCTGTTTCTCAAATGTGCCCAGATAGTATCAACATTTTAACGGCTAAAAGGCCATGGCAGCTTTCTCACTGTGATAGTCTTCCATTCAATAAAGCAAATAGCCTACATTACAAGCTTATCCATGGGACTCAATAAAGACATTCTTTTAAATGGAAGGAAAAGCAATGATAAAAGTGTGCCCCTAAGTCGTTTCCTTCTTCCTGAATTGGCTCAGGTGCAAATAAGTTTGCTCACCACTGACCCAGATGGCTCAGAAATAAATCATGACTCCCCTGCAATCTTCATTTTTGACATTGAGCATTCGTTTGCTCCAGCAGCTGGTAACAGAAGGACTTCTCGTGATGTCACACATGGAATTAACAGCTTCTTTGATATATTAACTTTTCAGGATTAACATTAAAACACTCTAATTTCTGCAGACAACAAAGAAAATGAAGAAGCTGGAAAAGGACACAGCCACATGGAAAGCCCGGTTTGAGAGCTGTAACAAGGCTCTCTTGGACATGATCGAAGAGGTGAGGAAGTTTTCCCCTCAGCTTTTTATCCTCCGTGTCTAGTCAAAATATTCACACTTAGAGTATGATAACCGATAATAGTACAAATGATTATGTTTGAAAAAGAGCTGAATTGTTTGGAGAAGTGACATATTAAATTTTAATAAAAATAGTAAGAGCAAAGGTCATTTAGAATCGAGTCCGGACTCATAAAGAGCTTTGTTACATGCTTACTTGTTGGTTCAATAGCTGTCCTCAAAGCAGCAACACAACACACCTGTGAATTCCTTAAGGGTAGGATAAGTATCTTATTTCACTTTTTTGAATGTTCCCACTGCCTGACACAAAAACAGGTGCAGAATAAGTTAATTAATTGATCTGAATATACCGAGAGAAGACACCAGCCCAATCCCTCAGTGTATGTGCTATTTTATAGGCAGATATGGAGATATATCTTTTTAATTTCTCCAACAGACATTTAAATACTGATATCAAGCAGGCTTTGATTAGGTTTTGAGACTCTAAAAGCAAAGATATTAATACATGGCCCCTGACCTGACTGGCAGGGCTTACAGGTGAAGGCCTGTCCATGTAAACAAGTGAAAATAGGTCTTAACAGTAAAGAGTAACCGAAAGGTAGGGGTGAAGGAGTGAGATACATAGGAACATTTTCATGCACAAATATGCCAACATTTCTAGAGGAAAGAATTGAACAGTTTGAGCAGCCAGCATCATGAATTAGTATGTGGTGAGTTTCTATGGTTGTAATTACTGTTCTAACAATTCATCCCAAATTGCAACCAATTCCAAAGAGATAGGCTTATTACTCATCAACATAAATCAGATTGTTGCTGGGATTAGCACATGGCAGTTTATTCATAGAATAGTTTAGGCATTTGCTGAGGGCTGAGTCCCCATCCATCTCATTCATCTTGCTACAAGTTTTGCTTCTGCCTTCTTAGTCTTAGAAGCAGAAAATTTATCTGCTTTAAGATATGGGAAGCCTCTGGAGCAGAGCAGAAAGAAGCCTTGCCATCTTTTTTCCCCTGAAGAACAGACTATGGTGATTAAAACTCTACCAGTCTAGCACACAATGCAAGAAAGAAGTGATGTCCGTGACCAAGTGTCTGTTCAGCCACCACTCTACGGCCAGGTCCCGGAGCCTAGTAGCCAAATTCCAGAATAAATGGTTTTGCTTGTCTGCAGAGAGCATTCTGGCAATTTTGCTTTTCATGTCGGTTTATATATGTTATGTGTTTCTGTGTTTTCAAATCATAGAAAGCGCTGAGAGCTAAAGAATATGAGTGCTTCGTGATGAAAATCGGGAGACTAGAGAACCTCTGTCGTGCTTTACAAGAAGAGAGAAATGAACTCTACAAAAAAATCAGAGAGGCAAAAATGTCTGAAAAGGATGACCCAAGTCAGCACACCTCCGATGAAGAGCCAGAGTCAAATGTCTCTGTGGTTGAAGAGATTGGTGCAGAGGAGGCCAAGCGTGTGCAAAACGCCGTGGAAAATCTGGCCATGGCCTTCATGGTAATTCATCATCCAGAGTCAACCCCACAACAGTCCAAAGAAACCCAACTAGAATTCGGCAGTCCTCATGGGAGCGGTGACACTGCCCTCAAGGAGCCAGAGCAACCCCATCTGGTCAATTCAGGGGAGTCAGAGAGTCCCCAGCCTCCCTCCACTGCTCAGGCTGAAGCCCCAGAAGGCCATGAGGCAGAACCTCCCTCCAAGACCAGTAATCCCCCTGCTGGGTCAGAAGCAGAAGCCCAAGGCGAGGGTCTCCCTGCTGGAGCACAGGCTCAGCAGCAGTCCTGCAAGCCAGGGGCAGAAGCTTCGGGTCAGGCCCCTCAGTCCCCAGCAGAGGCCCCCCTACAGGGGGTGGAGGAAAGTGGTCCTGCCCCACCATCCCCAGCATATGGGCAGGGGCCAGCTGGGGTACCTGGAGGTGAGCCCAGTAGGCAGCTCCCTCCGGCAGCAGCAGAGGATCTACCCCCAGGGGCCTCGGACATGCCCCAGCTGCCTGAAGTGACCGACACCAATCTGGAAGGCGTAGACTAGGCTGCACCATGCCTTCAGTGGCTCTTCTTCTTGACTCTTTGCACCTTGGTCACAACAGATTGTCTTCTGAAAGAGGCATTAAGGGCTAGGCATGTCAAATGGAAGAGAATTAGGATTGAGACGATTTTTAATGTCATGCAGAGCACATTCATTCAGACTTTGCTATTTGTTCTCAATTTATGACAGATTTGGAGCTTTTCTATTTAACACTGGTTGATAGCATTATATAATTTTCCCAAATGGCAACAACACATACCAATAGCAAATTCATATTACTTTTCTATTAAGATGATACTTAATTCAATGTCTCAATCAATAATAAGATTTGGTATTTAAAGACTTCTACTACAATATATAAAATCAGCAAATGTGATGTTCTATTTATTTCCACATATAGTTTAATAAGTTCCATACTAGTTGATGGATGTCCAGATTCCATTTAAACAGTACATGTACATAATATATGCATATGTGTTTATGTATATATGTATGTATAGATGTATGGATATATACGTAAATTCATACACATATAATATCCACATTTATACATATGTATATAATGTGTGTATAAATGTGTATATTACACATATATTTCTCTCCTTTATGGATTTTTCTCTATGCAAAGTATTTAGATGCTAATCAAAAAATTATCTCTTACTTGCACTTGAGACTATGATAGACTAATGCTCTATGAATCAGAAGTAGGTTCAGAACACAAGTATTTAGGCTATCATTACACTGGGCAAAAATAAGTCATCCTGTGGTAGATCAATAAATTCAACCAACTGATCAAATGACAGAAGAGCAGTTGGGTTAGATTGCAAATCTGTGCAGACAGCATGGACACAAAGAAGGCCACAAGAGACCCTAAACAGAAAAGGGGAACAATGACTCAGCCCATTGCATTGCAGCCCTCTCCTGTGGTCAGGCAGCCCACTCTGGGCAGCCTGCAAGAAAAGGATTGGAAGTGGGAAAGGGAGTGAGGGATTGAGGGTTGAGGGACCTCAGAATGGGAAGAGGCTGTGCTCTGGTCCCCTGCCTCTTGTGCTACAAATGTCTCGAGACAGAATACTCACCTCTTGCTATCACTCTCTATACTCTCAAAGCATCTGCTCCCTCCTTCCAAACTCCCTTCTTTGCAGCTGGAAATTATAGCCAGCCCTCAGCTCAATTAATGCTACATAAAACTATTATTTTTCCAAAACAGAAATCCACACAGGGTCTCAACATGAGTGATGAGGCTTACAAACCAACACATTTTCTGCTTTTAGGATTTCTCTGCAGACCAGAGTACAAAGCAAAACATAAATGGATCCCTACACAAAATGATTTGAAAAATAGTGAGGATTCAGGAGAAGGCAAAAGCTGGAAACACCTGGGGTTGTCTACATGAGTATTACATTATCATTGCTTGACAAAAACCTCTAGTGATACTGACAGCATAGATTACTCTACCTAGGGTAAAGGAAGACTGCAAAGATGAAACAGGAAGGAACAGAGGGAGGGAGGGGAAAGGGAGAGAAGGAGGGAGGCAAAAGAGATGAAAGAAAAAAAAGTCTAACTCAATGCTACCTTAAAAGTTGAACTCAAGTAGAAAAAATGGATAAAGGAAAGATTCTCTACTATGCATCCAGGAAATCATTCTTCAACGTTGCATGTGGCTGTTTGCCAAGGCACACAAAGCACTTCTAGGCAGCAGCCATATGCTACAAGAATTGTAAACTGCATACAATTTGTTTGAAGTAGACAGTGAGGGTAATAACAAAATTGCTAGGCAGGAAAAAAATACATTGCTGTTTAAGAATCTGTGTATTTTAAAGGCTTAAAATATTATAACCACAAGGTATTCAGCCAAATTCAACATTACTGGAAGTCTCAGAGATTTAAACATTCGTTTAATTCAGAGCTAAATATTCACCATAAAAATCCAGGAGGGTCTCCTTCCCCACTATTTACAGAGGCTGAACTCCCAATAATGGCATAAGATTAGAGAATCATAGTAAAGTCTCAGTCTGAATGTTTAGCAACAGAAACAGGCAGGAGAGGAGCAAAAATCCAATAAATCAAATATTCCAACACCCAAAGTTCATTATGTTCATCCAAAAGGCTTTCACAGCAACACATTACTCACTATGGTGTATATCTTGGGCAGAGTTTCAGATAGAATAACTTCCCTAAAATTTGTAAAGGCTTTGGGAGAATTATTTTAATATTCCAAGAATGTTTCATTATAGTCCTTTGTGTTAGAATTTGGCCTTACTAATTATAACAATAACTCATAAAGAACTGAAAGCAGAAGAAATATCTGTTCTTTGTCAAGTTCAAGTAACCATTTTTAGAGATGCCAAGTCTACTTTCTAGCAACACTAGAGTTGTTGGTATTTTATAAATTATGTATCTATTAAAAAGGTACTTCTCTTCCCAAATCCTCTAGTAGTGGTTTTGTTTATTTTCAGTTATTCTTATTTTATTTTTATTGCTGTTACTTCTATGTTTCAACAATACCTAACAAAAATTATGGTTTTATTCTATTGTTGGTTAAATTTGTGGTCACCGAATAGAATTACATGGAGTCAACACTTTGAAAATATTGGAGGGAAAGAGAGAGGGAGGGAAGAAAAGAGAGAGAGAGAGAGAACATATAACAATGAGGCTACACTCAAAAGTCACTGAGGCCTACAAGAGAGAAGAGCTAGGAACAGAATGCCCAGGGCTAATGAGAGAACAAAACCCAGACTCCTCTGCCAGGCTGTCCAGACAGTGGACAATTATCACAGACCAGAATGTGTCCCTTCGGTCCCAGTCTCCCAAAGAACCATGTTTTCACAGGTTTCTCTGCCATGTTTCCTCTAAAAAACACCCTGAGGAGTAAGGGCGGGAGTGTAGAAGGTGTCGGTTCACTTTCCCTCTCTCCAGTTCTTCTGACTGCTCCAAGAATTGAAGAACTCTAACAAGAACTGAAGAGGTCCAATTGTTCTGCCTTTTGATTTTTCTCTCTTCTCCGTCCATATTGGTCTAGGAGGGTGTTTTGGGAAAATCCCAGGACAGTAGAGCAAAACTGCCCTCTGAACTGAGATGGAGCCCAGAGACCAAAGAATGACTCAGCCAAGTCAGCTTGGTGAGTTAGATAAGTTACTGTTGGTCAGTACGGGAATCCTCCAGACATCTAGCCCTGGTCAGGACAGGACCTCTCTGGGCACAGGCTCTTGGGCCATGGCAGAAGTTCTCCAGAGAGTAAGATGTCTCTGCATCTGCCCATCCCTGATGTGGCTTTAAATCCCTTCCCATGAGTGAGGCAGAGCTCTTGCACTGTATCATCACGTGTTCCCACTGAAACCAATCAGGCAAGCCCGAGACAATCATCATGCACCTTCATACCACCCATGTTACATTAATGATATTCTAATTCTCCACTAGGCAGAGATTTTAGTATTACAATTAGCTAAACAGTATTATAGGTCAGGTAAAGCAGCGCTAAAGCAGTCAGGGCCAGTTTACACGGGTTGTCTCTGCCTCAAGAAAGGGCTAAGGCACATCTCTTGGCCTTGTAACTATTCTTTGGCACTTGCTTAATCTATTTTGTAACAATTTTGCTGCGCTCTCCAAGCTAGCACAGAACAGTGGTCTTTGTGTAGTGGGGAACTTGCATTTTTCCCTCAAAGGGGCTTCTCAACATGGCATTTCCTAGCATGCTTGAAGAAAAAGATGACTTGGTTAGAAAGGGAAAAAAGGTTAAACCTGCCCTTGAGGCTGCTTTTGCTCCTTTTTGCCTGGTATAGATACACATTTTTAAAATGGCCCCTTTCTTTGAGTTATATGAGTAATATGTATTCATTATAAAACTGAGGCTTTTTCAATAAGACTAACAAGAACAGGAAAGCAAGATTGTTTCAGGAAAATTTCTTCAGCCCATTCTCCTCTAACCAATAGTTCAACTCAGAATTTAGAAAAAAATAAAATAAAATGTAAAGAATTTGCTAAAAGAAGATACGAAATAAAAATAACGCCTCCAGCCTCCAAAGTTTGTTCCCATCATAAACTGGCAAGAACGTTTAGGAGGCCAGCAGGGTGTAAGGGTTCAATTTTTACAAGGTTTAGACAATTTCCATTTCTGTACTTTAGAACCTAAAAATTAAAGTTATCATTAGATCAGCCATGAGGGCTCTCCATGGGAACAGAAGCTTTCACATGATAGTAATGATTTTCCTCCACTTTGTTGCATCCTCAAAACCTGAAGTTAAGTCTCCTCGGTGCTATCTCCAGATAGAAGTTCCACAAATGCTAGTTGCTGCTGCATGTGCATGGAATGTACACACGAGCACATAAACACGCATGCGTAAAATCTGACCTAGGTTTGATTCTGTTCCTGTAGGTATTTACACCAGTATTTTCAATGGATGCTTAGTATTATCTTTCGTGACAAGGACAAACTATAAAAAAAAATTATTTCCTGTGTGAATAAGGATATCTGATAGAATCACTTAACTAGCAAAATAAACCTAGAAGTTCATTGATTCATGGCACAAAAATTACTCACAGAAGCTATTTCACCTCACTGGGAGATAACAAAAGGGATAAATCACTTCAACAGCGCAATCAAGCCCGGTTGGCTAAATCCAAGTGCAGTCCTTCCTGCTGGCTTTTAGAGCCCAAGATTTCTATTGATGGCAATGTCTATCCCACACTAACTTTGCATTTTTCCTAAAGAGATATAATGTCCAATTACTTCATGTCATAACTAAAACATACCTACATGTAAAACTCATTATTTAAGAACTCACAGTCAGTTGATGACATTTTATGTCAAATAACAAAAAAACCACCATAGAAGCCAAGTAAGAAGCCATTATGTTAAGAGAGAGAAAGTAAAAGAAACTTTCGATTTGATAAGTATTATATGTAATGTACACATATACATATAATATATATATTTTTCAAAGAAAATTTGAAAGTGAGAGTTCAGATTTATAGCTATTATATAAAAGGAAAAATTAAAAGGT